CCTGGACTCCCAGTTCCAGCTCCCCCAACTTTACACAGATGTCTGGATCCTGCTGGCTTCTCCCTTCCAGGACTGCTCTTTGCAAACTCTCTCGGGCAGTGAGCTGGGGCAGCCCGAACTCCCCTTCTTCGTTTCTTGTTCTTCAGAGATCAGCGCCTTCCGTTGCCTTGATGTCTGCTATTTTGAAAACCATTGTCGTATGTGTTTGGTATATTTTGTAGATGTTTCAGGTGTGTTTTTTGCGGGGGGGACAAATCTGTCCCTGTTACTGTATCTTGGCTGGAAGAAGTCTCTAATATGAGGGTTTTGTTTTTTTTTTAAGCTGTATTTGTTTATTTATTTATTTTTATTTTTTATTTTTTATTTTTATTTATTTATTTTTTGCTGTATTTGTTTTAAAGAGAGAATGCAAGCTAGGGAAGAGACAGAGGAAGAGAGAGAGTCTCAAGCAGACTCTGAGCTGAGCATAGAGCCGGACTCGGTTCTGGATCCCACAACCCTGAGATCACGACCTGAGGCGAAACCAGGGGTTGGACGCCCAACCAACTGAGCCACCCCCCAAATATAAGTTTATTTATTTATTTTTTTCCCAAATATAAGTTTAAATGATACATTTCTTGATTAGAAAGAAAGCAGCTCCTTTGATAAAGCAAAACTGAGCCCAGGTGGTTCTACGCCGAGCTCTGTGGTTGTCACTTTTATCATCTTTACGGACGTCAGGAGTGTTTAATGAATACAGTAGACAGAGCTTTATCGAGTAGAGACAGGGAGAGAGGGGGCTGCAACCCCTAGAGGTCAGGACAGCTCCTGCCTTTCTGTCAGTGTTTGCAGAATCTTGGCCACAAGCAAAGGGCTGTGCCAGAGGGGGCGGAGCCCCGGCAGTCTCATGTCTGGACTTCACACCTGGCTTGTCTCAGCCTTCCCTGCCTGACCATCTGCCTCTCATGGACATCACCCTCTTCCTTGATCCTTCCCACCAAATGGCCTCCTCCCCTCAAGCCACAAATGACCTGCACCTCGCACGTTAGCAAATCTGCATGTCTCATCTCCTCTTGGAGTCTGCTGGCCCCTTGAGCAAAGGTGACCAGGTCTCAGCCAGCCCTGTGATGATCTGTGGGCAGCTGGCACCAGACCTGGTAAGGGCACGGTTTCTAGCGAATCCATCTTTGCACTCCCAGCTCCTAGCATGATGCTAGAGCATGGCAGGTGCTCAGCAAATGGCTGGTGGATGAATGAATGAATGAATGAATGAGCACCTTCATGATGCTATCTTCTCAAATGTGCACCATCAGGCTGCTCACGTGCTAAGCTTATCACATCTGCAAAGGAGTCCTGGCCACACCAGTAGGAAGGAAGTTCAGGCAGGAGCAGACCTGGCCTGCAGCCCAAAGCTTGGTGTCCCGATCGCTAGCCCCTGGGAAAAGTTGCTTCTTGATCCTGGGTGTCCGTGTGTGACCTTTTGCTGAAATGATACTTCTCAGGCTTCCTCCAGCTCCAACAGTTCCTGATGCTTCTTAATGTAAAAAGAATGACTGGAGCTAGGAGACATAAGAATGCATTGTTTGAACACAAGAGCCGTTTTCTTGGCAAAATCCAAGATTTATGCCCCCAGACTAGATTCACAAAATACCTCCCTTTTTGCTCATGCATTAGCTTCTTGCCTGGAGTAGCTTCAGCTTCCTCACATGCATGTGCTGGGCAGCACACTGCTGAATAATATCAGGGGCCCGACGCAGAGGGCCCGACCCTCTCACACCAGTCCCCCTGCTTTCTATGTCGATTGTGTTTGGGACGAGTAAGCAAGAAGGAGATCCCCACCTCATTACCAATGAACGTAAAGAACCTCAAAAGAGACACTCTGAAATTTGGTGTCAGATACCAAAGGCGGTTTCGGATCAACCCTTCTGTTTCCCGTTGATGGTATTTCTCAACAAGGGCCTCGGTGGCTTTTTTTGGAGGGACAGTTCAATCTTGTAGGAATATCCAGGCCCCTGTTGTTTTCTGGAGCTCCTGGGCTCACTTACTGTGACAACCAAAGACAGCCCCCTTCCCCTTATTTCCAGGGACCCTCTGGAGGGGGGCTGCCTGCAGCTGATGTGAGCCCCGGCCCCCTGTGGGACAGGTGTGAGGGTCCCCTTGGGCTGCAGGCGTGGCCCTTGGGACTTGGCCCAGAGATGTTACAGCCTGAGGTACAATTGACAGAAGCCAAAATTGCTTCCTTTGCGGCAAAAACAAGGAGGGAAGCCCTTTGGGGTTGGGATCCCCCTGTATCTGGTTGCATTCCTGACTATCATGCACTGACCACTGGAGGGAAAATGGGGCCTGAATCTGTGCTAGGTCACCCCAGGAAGACTCAGCCAAGCTAAATTTGGGACATTTGGGGCACCCCAAAATGTGGAACTGGGGTAGGAGAGCCAGGCTTCTTGGAGGTTTGCGTTTGATGTTTCACAAAAAAATAATAATAATAATAAAACACTGAAGAAATTCATCATGGGAAAAATGAGAATCCTCTTGGATCTCCTTTCCCTTATTTTAGAGTTTATTCCTATCTTGAATTTCATATTCTGTATCTTTTCAGTGTTGGAGTTCCTAATGGCCTGACTCGGCCCTGGCTGAGAGCAGCCATGTGGCTCCGTGACATCCCTGTCCTGGTGTCTCTCAGGAAGCATTTCTGAACCAGCTTGGTTGTGTGGTGATCTGAGCCCCAGATCTGGGGACCTCACATTTGTTAAAGGGGCTTTAGCATCTGCTCCCTGAAAAGAGCACTTAGTGGCTTGCTGGGTCTCCCCACCCAGCTGCAACAACACCACAATATGATAACAATTTGGTAACTTAAAACTACTCTGCTCTGCTTACTCCTCTTTAATTGTTCCCGGCAGGCATATACAAGAGAAGAGGCACTTGGGGAAACAAACGGGCAGCCTCTAATAAAGTTACTCACACACACACCATAGGACCCAGCGAGCCCAGATGTTTATCCAGGAAAAACATGAAGACAGGTCTAGGGGAGCCCTGGGTGGCTCAGCAGTTGAGCTTCTGCCTTCGGCCCAGGGCGTGATCCTGGGGTCCCGTGATTGAGCCCCACATCGGGTTCCCTGCATGGAGCCTGCTTCTCCCTCTGCCTGTGTCTCTGCCTCTCTCCCTCTCTCTCTCTCTCTGTCTCTCATGAATAAATAAATAAAAATCTTAAAAAAAAAAAAGACAGATCTAGCCCACGTTTGCAAATGCTTCTAGCAGGTCTATTCACAAAAGTCAAAACCTGGAAACAGCCCAGGAGTCCACCCACAACAGGTGAACAGATAAACAAATTGTGGTTTCTTCATATAATGGAATACCACACTCAGCAATAAAAAAAAAAAGAAGGAACTTCTGAAATTTGTGATAACGTGGATAAATCTCAAAAACATCTTGCTAAATAAAGGGAGCAAAGATATAACATACTGCATGATTCCATGTTCGGACTTTCAGGAACAGGCAAATCTAATCTTTTATTTTATTTTATTTTATTTTTAAAGATTTATTTTTATTTATTTATGATAGACATAGAGAGAGAGAGAGAGAGAGAGAGAGACAGACAGACAGAGAGAGAGGCAGAGACACAGGCAGAGGGAGAAGCAGGCCCCATGCCAGGAGCCCAACGCGGGACTCGATCCCGGGACTCCAGGATCGCGCCCTGGGCCAAAGGCAGGCGCAAAATCCTGAGCCACCCAGGGATCCCCTAATCTTTGATTTTAGAGAGCAGAATAGTGTTTGCCTGCAGTGCAGGGATTGACACAGGGCAACTTCCTGGGGTGGTGGGAATATTCTATGTCATGACAGAGGTGTGGCTTAGGCAGGTGAACTCATTTGTCAAAGCCGATCACACTGGACACTTCAGAGGGTTAAGAGTCACCATATGCGGTTTACACCATGAGGAGTATGGCAGCAACGTCAATTCTGAGAATGACGGTAGAGACGAAAGCATCTGTGGTATCCCCGGGAAACCATTCACTTACTCCCCATGTTCTGTGGCACCCCTGAAAGTATCGATTATTAAGTGGACACAGAGTCTAGGGCATAGTTTTGATCCCTTTACATAAAGCCACAGGTCTTGAAGACTTGCCCAAAGCTAGTAGTGTCTGTATATCTGTCCATCCTGTCTGTCCCTCCCTGCCCCCCTCTCTCCTCCCCTCCCTCCCTCTTCTCCCTTCTTTCTCTCTTTTCTCCCCTCCACCCCTCCTATTTCTTTTGCAATTCGGGGCACTCCTTTCCAGCTGTGTCTGGATCTTTCAGGGCCTCTGGGATGAGGCTGTGTGATGTCTCCACGGTTCTCAGAAGAGTGAACCAGCTTTGCAGCGGGCCTCATCCACCCTGTGCTGCGGTCTGCCCCGCACAGCTGGTGCCAAGGTGGGGGTGGGGGACAGGTTCACCCCGGGGACCCCTTCCTTGGATCGAATAATGACAAAGGGGCCCTGTGGCACAGCTCAGATGCTGTGTCAGCGACAGACTCTGCCGGATTTTGGCCAATTGAGACGGCTGTAGGTACTCCCCACGTGGGCCGGATCCAAGAAGGGAGACAGGCTGCCTCTTGGCTTACCAAACTGACATTGATGGGCCTCCCTTTCTGTCCTCCCTCCTGGAGTGTGCCCTGTGCACCCTGCTCCCCACCCCCACCCTCGGAAGAAGTGGATCTAATGCCTCAACTGAGAGAATGAGATGTTCTGTTATTTTTCATGGGAAATTAAACCTGACCCTGCTGTCAGTTAGCTCATGCCAAGGGAGGATGGATGGCCCGGGCCTCAGCGTTAACCCCTGCTCAGAGCACGTGTCTGGCGGGGGGCCAGGCATGATGTCACCTGTCGCTGGGGTGGGGGTGGGGACGGCAGCCCAGGTCAGAGAGCCTCCATCCTGGGGGCCGGATGATGGTGAGGGCACTGGCGTGTCACCCGCCACAGTCCACCTCTGACGCGGCTGACACCTGCTCCTCCGGGGGAGACTCAGCCTCTTCCTGTGTCTTTCAGCCCCCAACTCTACCTCGTGCCCCGCTGAGGAAAGCTGGTGGTCGGGGCTGGTGATCATCATCGCGGTATGTTGCGCCTCCCTGGTGTTTCTCACTGTGCTTGTCATCATTTGCTATAAAGCCATCAAAAGGTGAGTGCTCACAGGGCTCTGAGCCCCGATGGGGCTCCACCTGGGCTGGGGCCACTCCGCCCACCCCCATCGTGTTTTTTGAAACCATAAAAATTGTTAAGCATTTAACAAGCAGGATGTACAGTGAATGCCCATCTTCCTTCAGCCAAGCATTGAATGAGCGCCAGTTACGTGTTGGGTCCAGGGCAGTGATGTGTGTGTGTGTGTGTGTGTGTGTGTGTGAACAGTATCCCTACCTGGAAGTCACAGCCTGCCATCAGGAGCTCACTAAGGCGCCTGGGAGTATGGATATAATCCTTGCAGGGTGCCACTGGATGGAGCCACCAGGAGGGCCCACGCTGGTTTGGAGTAGGAACTGGGGTTTGGGGTCAGATCTAAATACCAGTTCAAACCGTGTGACCAGGAAGAAAGCACTTTAACCTCTTTGGCCCTCAGTTTCCCTACTTGTAAAATGGGAGGAAAGAATGGGAATGCTCCAGGGGAGTCCTTAATTATGCCAACAGCAGACTGGCTTTCACAGACACTGCTGTCCTTTCTGCACCTACCAACTCACTTTACCTTTCCAAAGTGATCACCAGTCACCCCCCCCCCCATGCTGAGCTGGGGGCTGCAGCGGAGTGTGGCTAGCACTGGGGTCTGAGGAGGTTCAAGTAGTGTCTAGGGCCCTCAGTCTTGCCATGTTGTGGATGGCAGCCCCCTAGAGTTACAGAGCAGCAGGCCCTGACCTCCAGGCTTCCCAGCCTCCAGAAAGCACCCCCTCACCAACACCCCTCCTTCCTTGGAGGACAGAGGCAAAAGACAAAAATGTTGCGAAACCCCTAAGGGTCCTAAGCATTGTTCATCGATTTCTAATACAGTCTTTGAAAATTCCTGAAGGCCCCAACTTAGGGGATATATATTAAGAACAATTGTAACAGCTCAACTATTTCACTTTAGCCTTTAATCTGTTGTTCTTTTGGACTTCACTTTAATAATTCAAAAGCAGGAAAAGTAAAATACTGAGTTAAAAGTCCTACAACGAATGCGCGTTCAGGCATGGAAGGTGGAGGGCCAGATAAGGCAACAGCCTGGGAGTGTCCTGGTGGCTCGGCGGCAGGACATGAGGGGGACAGGGCCCGGGTACAGCAGCTCCACGCAGAGAGGCCAAGCCCTGGGGATCTACCTCCCGGCCAAGAGCCCCCTCCACCCCTTGTTCTCAGGCTCCAAGGCTGACAGTGTCCAAAAACAAGAAGAAGACCTGCAGTGTCGCCAGCTGTGGCGTGCTGGGCTTTGTTTTAGCGGAGCTGGGGCTCTTCCAGGAAGGTGTGCGGGGGCACCCCCTCACTTCCCCTCAGAGCAGCCCGAGGGGCCTCCTGGCTGCCCTCTGTCCTCTTCCATAGGCTCTGAGCTCTTGGTTCCTGGGTCTGTCAGTGGCCCAGAAACACACGGAACTCAAGCCACAAGGCTCAGTTGAACCCTTCCAGGGGTGTGGGCAGGTCCTGGATGTAAATGGGGCTCGTGAAGTCCTCCAGGACTAGTAAGGGGGGGCGATCAGCACCCCTAGGATCAGGACACAGGGAGGAAATCGTGCCACAGGAACTAGAAAACCTAGAGAGCCTGAGACTCAAAAGAGGGGTTGCTTCGCAGGAGCTGTGATTGGAACAGATGGAGATGAACCCCTAAACAAGAAAGGAAGGGGAGAAACACCCCAACATCTCTCCACCCTCCCTAGTCCTCCTGAGGGTGCATGTCATTGGCCAAACCCAAGGAACAGGGGAGCCCAAGACATGCAGAGGAAGGCGTCAGCCTCCCGGGGCACAGGGCAGGGAGAGAGGACAGGACTGAATGGGTGGGTGACCGCAGAAATAGAGACCAGCCAGCGCTGCGACAGCACCATGGTCCACACCGTCCTCCGCAAGCTTTCGGGCCTTGGAAGAAGGCCCAGCCCTCTGCTCCTCCAGACCTCATAATCCAGAAAGGGCATCCCAGCCCCCAGGGCGGACAGTCCGTGACCAGAGGGGGCTCCGTTTAGGGTCCAGCAGAGTCAGAAATAGAGGCCAGCACCCCAGAACCGGCCTGGGAGGAGGCCTGTGTGGGAGGCTCAACCCCTTGGGGGACGAATGGGCAGCAGGCCGGGCTACAGCTGGTGGGAGAGCCGATGCCCCCTCCTGTTGCCCAGGCTGACCTCTGCTGGGGGCTGTAAGAGATAGCACCATGCGAGCCAGCTGTCTGTCTGCATTTTTCTCCGGAGTCAATGGAGGATGTCTTGCTCACGGCCAATTCTTTCTGGTTAATAATTCATTTGAAACATGCCTCTTCTCTCAGGAAACAAAAGCATTTCATGTCACTGTAAAACCATTAAAAGGAAAATTCAGTGATGAACCCGGGTCTTTTTTTAACTCTCACAGCCTGGAGTCCTGGGGGAGGATTTCCGAGAGATCTTTGTGAAGGGCCCCCACACAGCCTTTGGGAGCCAGCTCACCGGGAGGATGGTTCTAGAATCAGCTGGGGTAGGAAGGTGGTTCTGGAGATCCCAGGTTGGTTTGGCATCTGGGGTGCAGGCCACAGGACCCACAGGCTTCTGCAGGAGTGGGAGGAGACAGGAGCAGGTGCAGAGCGGCACCCCGCAGAGCCCCCACAGGGCCTGACCTTGGTGGGAGATGGGGTCTCATTAGCACTTTGGACTCACAGACTCAGTGAATCGAACTGCAGCCTGAGTCAAAAAATGCATCCAGAGTCCCAACTCGTGCTAGATGACATGGTGCTTGGGGGTGAGGGGCTCCAAGGGGAGGAGCCCAAGGAGGAGCACCTCCCCCAGACCCAGGGCCACAAGAGGTTTCTAGGAAGGGGGAGGGAGTTAATCAGACCAAGGCCTGATGAGGGCTGCCGCTCATTGGGACTGACGCATGCAGTGGCCCCCAGGTCCCCTGCCAATGACCCCAAACTCTGCAGGGTCCCCAGCCCGGGAGCCCACACAGCTTGTATTTCAGTGGCCTCCTTGCCTTGAGCTTGCTGTGAGCAATTCTTTCTTTCTTTTTTTTTTAAGATTTATGTATTTACATGGGGGGAGGGTGAGAAGGGCAGGGATGGGTGTGGAGCAAAGAGGGAGAGAGTAGCAAGCAGACCCCAAGCTGAGCATGTAGCCAGGACCCTGATATCATGACCTGAGCCAAAACCAAGAGTCATACTTAACCGATTACACCCCTCAGACACTCTCAGCAGCTTCTTTATTCACAGCTGCAGGGTGATGGAGCCCCAGAGCCCTTGTGTGCTCTGCACCCTGAGCTTCCACCCAGGGCTCCTCCCCACCCCCAGGCCTGGCATGCACATGGCATCAGACAGCCTGGAGTTGTTCGAAGAACCCAGGACTGGGAGTCCAGAGCTCTGTGCCCCGTTCCCAGCTGCCCGCCCCCCCCCCCAGCTCAGCAGGTGTCGCTGCCCTCCCTGGCCTCTTTCCCTTACCTGTAGGGCATTTCACTGCTCAGAGGCATCCATGCAGACGGAAGTGCCTGCCAAAGTCTAGGCCAGGCGGTGGGGCCGTGCTTGGCACAGGGGCTCCTATCCTGGGTGCTTTGGGCACCATCTCTGCCCGCGGGGTACCCACCTCATGGGGGGAGGAGAGGGTGTTCCACCCTCCGAAGGGGAGTAGCCGAAGGGACTATCAAGCAGAAATAAGTTGTAAGCAGACACAATGAAAGAAGCCGTTGGTCCAGGATGGGATGGGGACCTCAAACAACAATGATCCGTGAGAGTCACCGAGACAAAGCTCCAGGGTGCAAGGTGCCCAGCGCCCAGGTAGGAGGGCCAGGCCTCAGACCCCTAGCTGGCCAGGGGAAGGAAGTTCCCAGGCCCCTGGACTCTTACGGGGGTACCGTCCCAGGGTGGTGTCTTCAGCTTCTCTGACAGCCACACCGTTGGTGCGGAGAACACCTGTGCTGCAGAGAGAGGACGCATCCCCATCCCCTTCGGGCCCCTGCCTCGAGTCGCCCCCACACCCCCGGCCCACAAAGCACACCTTTCCTCCTCCAGCCGTCCGCGGCCCAGGCCTTCACCTTCTGCCATCGATTTGCCAATTAAGCCGCTTGACGGCCGCCTCATTCTGATTTAAGGGTATTGGCTGACAGATGGAAGAGGCTGCAGAACGGTGTGGCCACCAGTGTGGCTGGTCCCGCACACCATTAACTGCAGACAGTGAGCAAGCGTGCTGCTCCCTGGGGGTGGGCTCAGGTGCACGTGTGTGTATGTGCGCGCGTGTGCCCGAGGGTGCCAGAGCACACACATCATCACTGAGCCCTAGGGCTCCCCAGTTTGCTCTACAGATACTTACTGAGCACCTACTGTGTGCTGGGGATGAGACTAGATGCCAGGGATGTAGAGATACACGAGGTGAGCTCCTGCCCCCTCACGAGGGGGGAAGTGGATTAAATACACACACACACACACACACACACACACAGGCAAGTTAATAAATGAGGTGCTTGGAACACCTGGGTGGCTCAGTGGTTGAGCATCTGCCTTTGGCTCAGGGCATGATCTCAGGGTCCTGGGATCAAGCCCCATGCTGAGTGGGGAGTCTGCTTCTCCTTCTCCCCCTTCTTACCCCCCCCAGCTCATGTCTCTCTCACTCTTTCTCAAAAAAAAAAAATCTTTTAAAGAAAAAAAAAAGGGGGCGACCCGGGTGGCTCAGCAGTTTAGCGCTGACTTCAGTCCAGGGCGTGATCCTGGAGACCCGGGATCGAGTCCCACGTCAGGCTCCCTGCATGGAGCCTGCTTCTCCCTCTGCCTGTATCTCTGCCTCTCTCTCTCTGTGTCTCTCATGAATAAATAAATAAAATCTTTTTGAAGAAAGAAAAAGAGAAAGAAAGAAAGAAAGAAAGAAAGAAAGAAAGCAAGCTGTTAAATAAATAAATAAATAAATAAATGCTTTTAAAAAGTGTGAGTGCTGTGAAGGAGGGGGAGGACCAGGGTGCTGGAAGAGAGAAGAAGAGGTCAGGGGTGCTCCTCCCACCCCAAGGCTCAGG